CAGGCAGCTCTGTATCACCCCCTCTGCAATATCCCTCCAAGAAGGCAGTGAGCTGCTCTTACCACTGCTGGCCAATATGGGTACCTTCGCAATCTGCACCAGACCAAAATCCCTTCTTCAATTGACTGTGGTTCTATAATGAAAAATAGAGAAAGAGCTCTTTAAAACATGAGAGAAGACAGTTAGCTTGCCCTCTCTCATCAGCTGTCTTTAGGGAGCTTGGCTGCAGTGCTTAACAGGTTTCAACTCCACCACCCCCAAAAATGCAGCCCAAGTAGTTCTGAATAGAGCAAGTAAGAGACTTCACTCCTAGGCCCTTGCCCAGTTTGCACAACAATATGCATTTCATTCCATTTCAAAAAGCCTCTCTGGGGCATAGAATAAATCCATTTTATTCCAAGCTCGAACAAAGCTGCAGTGAATTTCTGGGAAGGTTGGGTTTCATCACCATAGCTCATCAGCAAACTACAAGCACATGTATGCTAAAAAGAGCATGCCAATCTCGGGTGAAGCCTCACAGAGGTACTCTGACATCTCACCTTGATGTGATAAAACACTAGGAAGTTCTTCATCCTCCTCCTCTTCATCTACCAGAGGTGAGAGGCGAGAGAGACTCTCTGAGGAAAGTATCTTTGAAGACAGGTCAGACGATTCCAGTCCTGCCAAGAGCAGCGCCAGTGTTCAGAAGCATGGAACAGGGATTAAAAAGGACTAGCTTCAGCCCAGGTGAAACACACAATGTAAGTGCCCCTGCAGCCACCAGGTCACTGTCACACTAGGGCCTGTCCCAGCACTCCCATTCTCAATCCACTATCTAGGTAAAGGCCTAATAATCTGAATAAAAGATGAAAAAGGGGAAGGAACAAGAAGAGGCTGGTTTCAGGACATTACACCAGGCCTGTTCCTTTATGTAGCATCGTTTTATCTCTAAATGGCCAGCAGCAAAGACAAAACTAAGCAAGAAATCAGCAAGTCCTCTAGTGAAGGGTGAGAATTACTGCTAAATACAGGTGTCCAATGCCAAACCTTAAACAGCCCCACACCACCTCAATGCCACACCAGCATCTGGCCAGTGAAAAAGTGACTCTGTTTTCTCTGCTTCTCCAAAGCTTACGCCAAAAGGAACCAAAACCAGCAACTCAAGAACTGCATTCACAAAAGCAATGCAACACTCCAAGATGAGTTACAGTGACCAAAGCATCAAGCAGGATGAAGTATTCCCTTCCACAAGGGACATACCCACCTTCATCTTCTTCAAAGTCAGGCAGCTGAAATGGCTTTACTTTATTCATGACCACAGGTGCAGTATTCTTACTTTCCTCTTCTTCACACTGCAAGGGGGTGCTATCAGAAAGCACCCCTTCATTAGAAGGCCCAGATGAAGATTTAGGGCAATTCCTGCATTTCCTTTTCCTGTAGGAGGACGTAGTTACAGCAGTCTTTTGGTCTCCATTAACTTGTTTTAAACTCACTGGCTTTTTCCTTCCATCTAATTGCTTTGCCAGGCTTTCATTCTCACTGCTGATGCTTTTTTCCAAGTCCTCCGAGGCACTTTTACAAGAGGAATCCAGTAATGTCCTTCTAAGTTGACTTCTGGTCTTTGCGCTTCTGACAGGTACCACTGTGCCAGATGTGCAGGGGACAGACGGAGCAGGCCCCTCCTCAGCAAAGGGCTGTACTTGATCCTTGGGGAAATCACTCCTACACAACACAGGGAATCCCACACTGCTTGGTTCTTTTCCTCCTTGCTTACTTTTTTCCTCCTTTGGTTTAGGGGAGACTTTATTCCTTGCTCTGGATTTTGTCAACAGTCTGGGCTTGATGGTTTTCTGCCTTGGTGGTGATTCTGATTTTGGTACTTTGCAGTTCTGACTCTCCGAGTTCAGTGTATTAGACAAGTCCTCAGTCTCACATCTGGAAGGGTTTGTTCCACTTTCATGTGCTTCAGCACTCTCCTCCAAAACAAAAGAGCCTTTCCAGTTCGTTTTTTCTACATCAGTCTTCAGGCTGGGGCTCTTATTTTCTTCTCCTTTCCTCTTGGAAGCCTGAGGCTCCAACTTTTCTTTAAAGAAGCTACATAAAGGAGTCAGTGAGAGAGGTCCTGAATGGTTCTCCTGCAAGGAGCGAGTACTTGGCCCGTTTTCTGAAGGTGGTACTTCTTTGGGTGACTCGCTTGGATTCAAAATATCCAGGGCAATTTTAAGAGACCGGCGATACTGCAGTTCTTCTACAGCCTCACTCAAATTATTCCTTTGATCTGATGAAGAACAACATACAATAACCTTCATTCAAATCTAAGAACCAAGAAGTCTCATTTATACTCTATTTCTTGTTTAAGATGCAACTTAACATTCGAATCACCTGTGATTCTTAAAGCTAAGTATGCAGAGACACATAAGAAGCAAGCCTCCAGTGCCTTACTTTAAGGGAAGTACACACAGGTTTCTTCTATGTTCTTCCCAACATGCTACCCAAGGGAAGAGCAAAAGCAGCTGTGATTCTGTTTTGTCTATTTTCAGACTTTACAGATGGAATGGAAAGGAGAAAAAATGCAAAAAAACCCCCAAACCCACTCAACAAATACATAAGTGTAATACAGACCTACTGTGTATGATTACATTCAGGGTATATACAAGGCAGCAAATATTGTGACATTTCCTCACCTAAATTAGAGGCAATGTTCACTATGTGTTCTTCCGTCAGTAGTTCAGCATCTGCACAGCGCACACTGATCCTGAGAACACAACAAAGCTGGCCAAAAATGTCACAGCACTAAACACTACTAAAAGCACAACACTACTTTTATCCAGCAATAAACTTGGAATATCCTCCCCCACCAAAAAGAACCCCACTTGTTAGGGGAAGTAAAGTAGAAAAAGACAAATTTGTGAAGCATGCCTGAGCTAACAGTCAGTATGTTGTTCACTGATGTTCCATGAGACACTATAGGCAGCTCTACAAAGGCAATAGGGCTTAGGGTTAGCCTCTGTAAATCAACAACCTCCATTCACACATATCTTTAGATAAAGGGATTACTTTCTTTAATGTTAGCATACAAACATGTAACAATTAAACCAATACTTAACTGTTCTTTCAACCCAAGTATTTCAACTTCCAAAGAAATCTCCCTCGCGACTCCAGTTTTGCGCAAAACCTACATTAAAGAGAAAAACCTGCATTTAAAAAGTCCTTGACCAAGTGTCCTGGGTTCAGCTGTCGCAGTCATTTCTCTCCTCCTTAGTAGCTGGTGCAGTGCAGGGGATTGGAACTATATGATCTTCACATCCTTTCCAACCCAAACCATTCTGTGATTCTGTTTACTTGGAGCTCTCACTAACTCCTCTGTTTTAACCATTTCTAAGTTATATCTACCAACCTTTCCTCATTTAGACGCCTGCTTTACCTTTGCTGGCCATAAACGCTTCTTCCAGGTGCAAAGAACATACTCTTGGTCTGTCATGACTGCGTTTCATGTAGTAAAGGAAGATTCCAGTGTGCTCTGAAGACAAAGGGAATAAAAGAGTTATCCATCACTCGGTCCATTTTTGTCTTCCCTTTTTAAGGGATACAGGGCCTACACAGAACACATTGTTACAGTTATGCCTATCTGCCGATTGAGATTGTTACTTTGTATGTGTCCTCTCAGATTATGGCCTAACAGTGTGTCTTTTTGCAGCATGGCTTTACTATGTACACAGACAAATAGTGCCACAAATCGATCCACAAACACTGCTGTTGGCCTGCTCAGTCGGCCAAACAACAGCGGCCGCTTCCCCCATCCCCAGGTTAGGCCCCGCGGTGCCGGTTTTATGCAGTTAACAATTATAACCCGGGTGAAACAGCTACGGAGCCCTTCCGAGCTTCTCCGGCTGGAAAAGCTTTACGAAAGACCTATCATGAACAAGAGACCCCGGCTGTGCCGCCGGCAAGGAGCTGTTACCACAGCACCGAACGGCACGGGCCCGGCCCGTCGCAGCCGCGCAGCCTCAGGGCACAGAGGAGGCTCCAACGGCCCTACCTCAGTCGCCGCCTCCTGCCCCACCTTCCCCCCCGCTTCCACCACCGCCGCCCCACCGGGACCCGCCGTGAGGGACGGGCCGGGACCGAAGGGAAAAGGGCCCGGTGCGCATGGGCAGGGGGACTCCCGCCGCTCCTCACCCCGCCGTTAAACAGACGGGCGGCCGCGTGCGGGACCCGGCGCGGGAACGCTGTTACCGTGCGCGATCGGGACGCAGCCACCGGCCCCGCGCCGCCTCCGTCCATATCAGGCCTCGCCCGCCCGGCTCTGCGCATGTGCAGCACCGCACCGGGAAGGCGGCAGCCAATCAGCGACTCCCCCTCTCGCGTAGATCACCGCCTTCCCGCCGCCAAAACACACTGCCTCCAGCCAATCAGAGCTTCCGTTTCCTCCCTGAGCTCCGCCCACCGCCTCTCCTCCTATTGGACAGTTCGGGGCACACTGCGGAACCGCCTTGCGCTGGCGTTACTCCCCCTCCCCGTCAGGCCGCGGGGCGGGGCGTTTACGGACGTGATGGTGACGTAATCACGTCGGGGTGCGGCAGGCGAGCGCTCCGCAGCCAGCGCGGCTTTCGGGGCTTGCCCGGTTCCGCTCCGGTTCTTTCCTGGAGCCGTCGCCGGACTCGCGGCGCTGAGCCCGGCCCTTCCCCCGCGGCTACGCGGAGCCGCCTTTTCTAATGGAACATTACCGGGATTTGCCTTATTTTGTGAGGTTTTAGGTTACTTTGCAGGCCTCAGCCCCGTAGTGATGCCAGTAACCGCCGTCCCCCTGAGGAGATCCACAACTGGAGGCGGTGTTCAGGTGTCGGGACCTGGAGAATCAATTGTCACATGAAAACGGGTTAAAAAAGGCAGGAAAAAGTAAACCCCAAACGGCTTTCAGGGAGTTGAGGCTTGGCCCAGTCAGCTCTGAGTCCTCCTGAGAACAGCAGTGAACACAGAGCCCAGGTGATGATGTTGGATACTTTTATTGGCTTTCTCTACTTCTTTATAAATACCTGCAGTATCGGCAATGTCACCACGACACCGAAGTAGTCAGTAAAACACATCCTGAAAACAGCTACAGACCAAAATTGGCTTTATTCCCTTATTTTCTTACTACCTTTGAGTACTGATACTTGTGGAATAATAGTGTGTAACAAAAGAGGCAAACTCCTTTTCTTTGCTTACAGTTTTCCCTCCAGTGGCTTCCATCACTGAAGACACTTGTTACTTACTGTTATCTAATTGATGCCTTCATTCCCATTATTTTGCAGGATCAGGAATGCTCAACACTACTTTGCTTCCCAGCATCGCTCCCTGTGGGCACACTGAGCGCTCTGGCCTGGTCCTGCAAGGTGTTTAAATGCGTATTTCATGCCAGAGGATAGTAAATAGTCAGATTTTAAGCCCCACGTTAGTGAACAAAACGGTAAAAGTGGAGTTCTGGCCCCACTGGGGTAAAGGGGGACACATGATGGAGTTTGAAGGACAGTGCCACCCGAAGGATGGGATAAAGAGTGGAGCTGAGTGCGCTGCAAGGTTCAGCCTTCTGTGTTAAATAAAAGAGAGAAAACAAACTGCTCCCTCCCAAACACACAGAAAAAGATGGGGTGTTTCCCCTGCCGAAGCCCTCTCCCATGTTGTCAGTGATCGCTTTCTCTCCTGATGTTCATCTGCTTCCCCACTGAAGGTATGACTGGGAGATCATAAAAATGAAAGCACATTTCTGGCCAAGACCTGATATTTCCCCAATTAAAAACCCTTTTGAACATCCCATCCCTGTATTCGGCTCTGCAAGCATCCCAAACAGAAATGTCATGTGGTATGGATCAGCCCTTACACGTAATCTTCATGGTTTCTGCTTGTGCTCTGCATCATCACAAAGGTCTTTGTGTTACATTTGCCTTTGCTGCCATTGCAGCTCTGCCCCTGTACCGGGTTCTGCATCACCAAAGCCTCAGGTTGTGTTTGCCACCTCTCCTTCATCACTTATGGTGTCCCCGTGCTGGAAAAATGGACTTTGTGCACAAATTTTATTCTCTGAGACTTCTTTGCTTGAATGTGCTCTAAGTGCATGGCCCAACCAGCCAGGGATGTGGGTTGAGGCAGCACCTCAGGTCAGCAAACCCCATGCTGGCTTTTTGGCTTCTCCTGTGTTCAATATGGCTTTTCCTGTCTGATTACTTGTTCTGCATTAAAATCTACAAATACTCATCCTGTGGCCTGGTCAATAACGGCCTGAAAAAAGTCTTTCCAATCAGTTTGTCAACTGATTTCATTAGACTTAAAAAGAAACAACCCAATACATATAAACTCATTGTTCTCCCTCTGGAAACAACAGCACCGTTACAGGTTACAAAGTCTTCCAATGTGCTATAGAAAGAGCTGCATTGTTCTTGGTTAAAACTCCTGTGAATGGCAACCTGGAACACCAAGGAAGAGGCCAGACAAGCCGCGTTCCCAGTTTGGGACAATCCCACCACCATCATGTACCCACAGCAAGGCTGAAGGTGGGAACAAATGAAGCTGGAGTGGAACAAAAGCACAAGTCAGAGTTTGTCTACCATCTAGAGATAATAAAGGAACCACTCACAAACACTTTTTCTTCAGATAGGATCAAACAGCTGGGTCCAAAGCCTCCTACAAACCATGTCTAATAACAGCAGTAAACCTACAGCTGTGTCTGGTAAGAGGGATTGTAGATGGAACGTGGATGGTCAGTGATAACCCAGATGCACCCACTCCCTAAAGAAACCCTTAAGGACTATTTACAGGGACTTACAAAACGCTGTTGTAAAGGCGGCTTCCTGCCTGTGTAGGTAAGGTGAAAGAAATCCTTTTTCTGCTGTTTTGCTCCTTGGTTTTTAAGCCACTTGGGATCTTCTCCAGCCACAGTGGCCAAAACTTTGTTGGAAGACAGAGTCACCAGCCTTGTTCTCCTCAGTCGGGTCCGCACAGACACACATTCACAGCGACCAGCTACAACCTCACTGGCAACAGGACACTAACTAAGGACGCTCCACACCACAGACCATGGGCTCCCGACACACACCAACACTCGAGGCACTCCTGTCCCAACGGCTTCCCCCACCTTGCCCTGTGCCAGCTTCCAAGGGTCAGTGGGGTGCTGCTTGTGGAGGCCCTGGTGAGCCGGCACCGGTGCCGGGCGCGTTAGCTCTGGCAGCTGGCGCTGCTCACAGGAACCTTGGGCACGGCGGGGCGGTCGCTCTGGAAAGCTTCAAGGTCCTCAGTGGTGGCGGTAGCTTCGTGGCCAGCGGTCCCTGTGCCCTGGGGCAGGTGGGTGCCCCCGGGAGCCCTCTGGCTGCGCCCGCTGCGGGAGCAATCGTGGTGACCGTGGTTGCCCAAGCGGCTGGAAGCCACCACGGCTTTCATTGCAGCCTGTTGCAAAGGCACAGTGGTGCGAGCAGTTAGCAGCATGTCTTAGGCAGATGTTTCCCCTTCTATGCCTTTCCCGAGATGCTCGAGCCCCGCGGGAGCATGCAGAGAGAGCGAAGGCGCCCGCTTCTCCAACCCAGCCCTTTGCTTCAGGCAAGGCTTTTCCTTTTCACTCTGTCATCCTTCATCCCCTGAGCTGCCACGTGTCACTGAGCATTTATCTGCGCAAGGCAGGGGATCCTTAAAACCCAGAGGCAGCAGCTCTGATAGCCCCAGTTGTTTGCACAAGGGGAACGTGAACATGAGCCACCCCCGGGGGTTTAATGGGGCTTTTTCACCTTTACCTTCAGTTTTCTCCTGGCATTAAATTCCTGCAGTTTCTTCTGCGTGCTGTCCATGTGAGCAAATTTAGCTGCTTTCCCTGTGACCCAGGGATGCTCCAGAGCCTGGTGGACGGTCAGCCTCTTCCGGGGGTCCAAGACGATCAATTTTCTGACCTGTAACCAACAAAAAGGCCTCATTTGCCTCAAAAGCCCCTGGTTTTGTTATTCCACAAGCATTGATCTGAAGCCTTCACACTCAGCAGCCCGGAGCCCCGGCACTGCCTCACTCACCAGATCCTTGGCGTTGAGGGAGACCTCATCCCACCATGGGGACACGAACTCGTAGTCGCAGGTGAGGATGCGGCTGTACATGTACTGGTCCCCTCGTGGGTCGAAGAAGGGCTCGAAGCCACAAAGCCTGTGAGCACGAGAGAGGAGCTACACACTGCTGCCCGGGCCCTATGGCACAGCCAGGCCAGCGTTTGCCAGCGGCTCACAGTGGGCTGAGGTGGAGCAACCGGTGGTTCCACTGCCCCGGCTTCACTGCCCTTGGGTTACTCACAGGATGTAGGTGATGACACCCACAGACCACATATCCACTTCAGGGCCATACGGGCACCCATGGAGGATTTCAGGGGCTGGAAGCAGAGTTTGGGGTTCAGATGCACAGATGTGGGGAGCTCCCCACAGAGAAAACACCTCCTGGGTACCGTTAGCACCTCCTGATGCTGGCGCAGCCATCAGCCAGCCCTGTACTGAGCAGCAGGGAGCAGCCCTCCGGGTCCCCCTCCCTCTTCCCTGGCTCTTCCCTCCTGCTCACCGCAGTATCCCGGCGTCCCGCAGACGGTTTTCATGGTGTCCTGTTCATCCACAATCTTGGAGAGCCCGAAGTCGCCTTGAGGGACACAGAGAGCGCAGCGCTGCCGTCAGGGGAGGCACTGTTAACTCCTCTTTGTGCCAAAATCCCCCCCGGCAAACCCACCGATTTTAAGGGGAGCATCGGGGGACAGGTCTGCATAGAGCAGGTTCTCCGGCTTCAGGTCACGGTGGACGACCCCGTTCTCATGCAAGTACTATAGAGAGAAGAAACAGGGACATGGTAAGGGAGAGAAGGGGCAGAGAATCCCCATCTGCTTCAGACAGTGACTGGGGGGGACTGGGCACAAGCATGGCACCAACTCGCCCAACTTGTCCTTTGGAAACACCCAATGCCTGCGGTGCCGGAGCGGCTGCTGGGCACGGGAAGGACACTTCCCATTGTGAGTTTCCATTTTTAAACCCTCCTGTTGCTATAGAAACCCCGTCTCCAGCAGCCCCATGATGCAGAGCAGCGCTGACCTCCCTCCCTCCCTCCTCTTTCATCCCCCTGAATGTGGATTGGAAGAGGCCCCTCCACCAGCGACACCTTTGGAGGGCCAAGGGTAAGAGGGGTATTTGGGAGGGTGCAGCCCCCACAGTGACAACCCTGACCCCCCGAGGGTCACCTCACCGAGACGGCTTCCAGGATCTGTTTGACCACGTGGGCTGCATCCCGCTCGCTGTAGAAGCCCCTCTCCACTATCCTGCAGGCACATTGGGTCAGCACAGCAGCACCCTGCCCATATGGAGCCCCTTCGCCCTCTGTCCCCCAACCACAGCGTGCATCAGCCTCCCTCCATCCTCATCCTCCCACCGCCATCAGGGTGGGATTCCTTCCCCCTGCCCTCCCATTAGGAGCCAGGGTGGGGATGGTGGGGCTGGGTGTACCTGTCAAAGAGCTCTCCTCCCGTGACCAGCTCCAGGATGAGCACGATCTCAGACAGGGTCTCAAAAATCTCCTTCAGCTTGATCTGAAAGGGGCAAGAGGGGTTCAGATGTGGGATGCAGATGCAGGATGCAGATACAGGATGCAGAGGCTGTGCCAGGAGGAGCATTCAGCCACTGAGGTGTCAGGGGTTTATTGGGACAACCAGCACGTTTCCCTCCTTGCCTTTGTATTTGTCTGAATGTGATTTGTTCTAACGCTTGTAACAGCCCTGCTCACTTAATCATGCGTTAAAGGTGATGCTGGGAATGGGAATCCAGGCATGAGGCACCTTTATCCTCCTCCCATCTCCAAGCTCATTAGCTGGAAGAGGAGCTCACAAAAAGCTTTTTCATTTCAGTTTCCTTGGCCATGCTGGCACCTTGTCCAGCCCCACAGCAAAGCCCTGACCTCATCCTTCCTGGGACCCATTCTGCACAGCTACACTTACAAGGATGCGGGATGGATGCACGGAACCCCAAGAGCCCAAAGCCACCTCTGGGACCCTACGGGCACCTCTGGAAATGTCCCTTGGACCGTTTATCAGCAAAAGATGCACTAAAGGAACTGATTTCCTCATGATTTTGAGAGGTTTTAGCTCCCACATGAGGTGGGTTTGTCTGCAAGAGACCTTTGTGCCACTGCAGCAAATCTGGGATTCCCAGGTCTCTCTTAAAACTATGTCAAAATGCAATTTTTTATTATTATTATTATTTTTTTAATGGAAAACTGAGAATTTCACGCTTCTCAAGACTTTTGTGACACTGCGAATTTCATGGGGCTTTAATCATTACCTTCATAGGCTGGGTGACAAGCCGCGATACCCTGCAGCGTGAGAGACACTATGTGGCAGCTTATTGCATTATAATAATACACGGAAGCACTATAATTTTCCTATTAACTTCAAAAGTTTACAATCCTATTATCATCCGCTCTTGAGGTTGGTGCTGAACGATAGCGAGCGCGCAGGCAGCACCGGCGTAAATAATGAAAGAGAGCAGCTCTGCTTCAAAAAACCCACTTGAACCTGGGAGAGAGCAGAACCCTACAGAAAACGCAGTGATTTCAATATTAAACCTGCCTGGCTGGTTCCTCCTCATGTCTCCGTGGAGCTGCTGCCTGGGGAGGAAAGGAAGAGGGGAGGCACAAATGGAATCTTCTGTTGGCTTTCTGATAGCGCATCGGAGGAGCCTATCCCTATCCGGGGCTGATCCCGCACCAGGGGCTGCTCCAAGTGGTGCTCCCCATCCCTGTGTCTGCCCAAATGTCCTGGGAGTGGGGAAATGCCCCCGAGGAAAAGGCTGAAGTGCCTGATAGCTCCAAAACACTGGGACACCCTAAGGCAGGCCTGTGCCAAGCTGGCCAAGGGGCTCAGGGGTGCCCCAGTTTCAGTGTGTTTGCCTCCACTATCCCTGTTTTTAGGGTGTTTTGGGCTTCACCTCTTTGCATCAAGGATTAGGACTGTTGGGGATGGTCAAGACATCCCTACAGGGTCAAAGCCTCATTGTTGACATGGGCTGGGCTGAAAGCAGTCGTGCCCAGGGTTTTAGAATCATAGAATCACACAGTGGTTTGGGTTGGAAAGGAGCTTAAGATCATCCAGTTCCAATCCCATGCCATGGAGGGTGTTTTGAGCCACACTGCAACAGAAATGGCAGCCTGGGCAGCAAGCACCAGCAGCAAAGTGATGTCCCAGCCACAGAATCAATCAGTGTGGGGTCTGCTGCACCCCTGCAGCACCAGCCCTCAGCTGCCAGGTGGGTTTTGTGTTATTTCCTTAACTCCAAGATGCTTCTGCAATTTGCCAGTGGAACTAAGCAGCAGGGAATAAGCCTTTTTGGCTAGGGGAGGGATGGGGAGGGAGCAGAGCCCCCAGGTCCCTGCCATTGCAGAGGGGCCGACACGGTGGCCCCGGCTCTGCTGACACCGGTGGTGATTAGATCCGCTCTGGGCATTGCAAATCATTGCAGCCAAGCTGCTGTTATCCCCCGAGCGCTGAGCAAGAGAAACGGCACTGGCTGCACTGGGACATGGAACCCACAGCCCTTTTATCTCCCCTTGCAGGATTCATTACAGACGGGCAATTTTCAGTGGTGTTCATTTGATCTCCTCGATGGAAATTGCTTACCAAATGGAAATCTCAGGCCAGGAGGTTGGAGGGGGGAGTGGAGGTGTTGGAAGGGGGAGCCTGGCCCTTGGTGTCAGAGCTGGGAAGCTCAAAGGCACTGCAAGGACCATGATTTTCATGCCTGTCTGCAAGGCAGGGAGCAGACACGGGGTGCAGGCAGGGGTGGTGGGTTCATCCTGCACCGCGATGGGATGAGGACAAGGACATCCCAACCCTTCCCTTGACTGGGGACCCGACCCGACCCAAAGGGAGCTGCGAGCTGTGCCATGAGGGCCGTACTCACGATATTGGGGTGCGAGAGCCGCAGCAGGACCCCGATCTCTGTCCTCACGATCTTCTTGTCAATCTAGAACACAGACCCCATGCAGAAGCGGCATTACCTGTGCTGCCAGGGCTGGCTGCAGCCCCCTGCCATGCAGACACCCCTTCCCCATTGCTCCCTGCTGGCTCACGTTTGTCCCAGGGGTTGTTTTCAGCAGCAGGATGCACCCATTACACCCCCCCCCATCTGCACCCATAGCCCCAATGACAGCCCCATCCCAATCCCAATGTGCTTTGGTAGCAAAGTCACCTCCCACCCTGCAGCCCAACACTCACCGTCTTCTTCAGGACCTTGGCAGCGTATGGGGTGCCCGTGCCCTTCTCCTGGCAGCTGTAGACCACCGAGGTGGCTCCCCTGTGGAAGGTTTGGGGGTGCAAGAGGTGGTATGGATGGAGCAGGGTTCTGCTCACCCCATGCCCCCCCCAGACCTTTGCTGGTGGCTTGGGAGTGCAGCGCACATCCACCTCCTTGTGCACCCCTCTCCCTGCATCGTTTCCAGCTTTCCTGGGTAAAGCTGTTTTAATTAAACCAAGTCCTAGATGGGATTTAAACCCTTAAGCTGCTTTCACGACAGGACAGAGCCTCCCTCTTCCCACTTGTGGCCATGGGGACTGCGGGGATGCTGTGCTTGTCCCAGCCATGGCCCTGACAAGGTCATGGCACACAGGATGATCCCGTGTCACTGTGAAACCTCCCCACCAGGTGAAACCACTGCAGGTTTAACAAGAGGGATCATTCCTGTTGAACCCCCAGCAGTGCCCCCAGCTGCTGGGGATCTTTAGATCCAGTGAATAACAGGTTTTTAGCCACTGGACAATGAAATCAACCCATTGCCTCAGGTCATTACAGGGCTTATTTACAATTTCACCTTTGCTGCCTGGCTCCTCGGAGCAGATTAATTCTCACCCCCCAAAATCAGCCACATTTTACTGCTCCTTGGCTTCACCATCTTCTGGGACCCAAGTTCAGGTTCTGCTCAAGGTACATGGCATCCCCAAACACCCACACTGAAAAGCCAGCTGCACGCCAGACACCATCTTTCACACCAAAACCTCCCATGAGACCAAGACCAAGTCACAGCGTGGCTGAATGTGACCCATTTGCTGCAGCCCCATGTGCTGGATGCGGTCCCCAGGGTGCTCTCATGACAGAGAGATTTGCTTTAGAAACAAGGGCGGATTTTGCAACTCATCTGGCTGAACTTGGGAATCACGTTCCCATGGCAACGGCAGAGCTGGGTACCGGGTACCACAGGGATGCTGTGGGATGAACAAACCCCGGCACTTGTAGGCCATTTGCAAAACATTTTCCTCCCTTTGCTCAACATTTTCTATGAAATCTTAATTTGCAAATAAAAGGCAATTTGGAAACAAACCACTCAGGTTTGCAAGGGGAGAGGCGGCTGCCCCCGCCTCCTCCAGCTCAGGAAAGTGAGGAGAAGCCTTCGATTTGAACCCAAAATAGCATCGCTGCTGCAGCACCCATTAACCCATTCCCAGTGGGAGAAGGAGCCACCCAGAGCTCTCCTGTAGCAGCTCAGCTCCTCCGGCACCGTTTCCAAACGCACCAGCACCCCAGCAGCCACCTGCACTCCTCATCCCTCTCATCTCAGCTGCATCCCAGCCTGGACCCGGCGCCTGTCGCCTTCCCACATGATGCTCTCCACACAGGCAGTTTGCAGCCTGATTCCTGCTGCCAACGGGATCATTTTGAAGCACTCAGCTCTGCATTTAGGAGATGCTGAGGCTGCTCCTCAGGCACGGCACAACCCGCTGTGCCCATGGCGATGCGCCGGCTGCCCCTCACGCGTTCCCAATTACAGCAGTGGCTGGATCCGTGCCGGCATTCGCTACACCCCAGCCCCTCTCCTCGCTGGCCCCGGCAGCCGCTGCTCTCGCTGCTGCTTAAAGCCTTGACTAAATCTCTGCAATCAACCTTGACTGCGACAGGAGATAATTGCATTTGCTTTACAGATGAACTGGAAAATGTTGAACAATGGGATTTGCCACGAGAGCCTGACGGATGGACGGGCGCTTGAGCAGCCTGTGGAGCACCAGGGCCGGCCCACGGAGGGGACAGTGGGAACTGCACTGCTCAGAGCCTGTCTCTCTGTCCTACCCCCATCTGTGCAGGGCTGCGTGGTGCTGAGCCCTGAGCTGACACTGGCCACACCTCAGTAAGAAGCCCTAAATACCTGGTTTTCCCGGAGCTGATGGATTTAAGGCTCAAAGGCTCCCTTGCAGATGGCTGGGGTTGACCCAGCCTAAACCACTACCACTGCAAACATCTGCTCCAGAGCCAGGCGCTGCCTCTGCTGCCCCACAAAGGGGACTGTCAGGCCTTCCACCCAAGGGTTCCTTGCACCCCCTTGGATCCCTGTTGTCCTGAGCGTGCTGGGACACCAGTGACAAGCCTGTCCCATGGTTGGGAGCTCCCGGCACCGCTGCTCTCCTCAAAGGGGCACAGGAGCATCTCCAGGATGCATCCTTGCTATGGGGCATCAGCAGCCTCCAGGCCCAAGCACTTGGCACCGGCTGTGGGATCTGCATCCTGAGGGGCCCTGCAAGGGCTTGGGAAGCAGCCAAGCAGCCACGTGTGCCAGGGAAGGAGAGATGGGCAGGTTTAAAACACATCTCCTGGCCACCCCAGCACAAACGGCACAAAACAGCACCCGCAGGACCTCGCGTGTCAGCCCTAGTGTTCCCTGCCCATAAGGATTTATGGTAGGGCCTCCAATAAATAAGTCACGAGAGCCTCCATCAAGCAGTTGGTGGCTCTGAGCCACCACACAGGGATGGGGATATTGGTGGTCCTCAGCAGAGCTTCCTGAGCCAGATGGGATAAATCGAGATGTGGGAATAAACACCTATGGGGCCGTGTCCGTTTGCAGGGACTGCTGCAGGAGGGACCCACCATGTCCCCACACTGTGCCAGGCTCATTGCTCACCTCCCCAAAGCCTTGGGCTGCTCCGAGGTGAGACAAATCACACCAGGAGCCCGCTTCCCACCCACAGGGGTGAGAACCACGGACACAGGGAAGTGGGCCCCATCCTGCAGACCCTCAGTGCACGCCCCTGGAACCATCGCAGCATCATCATGACACAACCCAAGCTCCAGTTTACACGTGAGTGCAGGGTCTTCTCCTTTCCACCCCTCCTTATCCATCCTTCCCATCACATCCAGGCCCTAACCCTAACCCTAACCCCCCCCAGCAGCCGGTACCGTCCCAGCTCGGGGCCCACGATGTAGAAATCCTCCAGTGCTGCCTTGCGGTGGGAGCCGTCGATCCAGTACTCGCTGCTGCTCTCGGAGGAGGGCATGGTGGGCCGGGGGCAGCAGTCTCCTGCCAGCTGCTTGGAAGAGGAGAGCAGGACATCACCACGTTCCCCCCCTCCACTGCGTGCGAGCGCCCAGATGGCCCAGCAAAAAGCAGCGCCTGGGATTATCGGGTGCGATGGAGCTGCAGCCACAAATCTGCTTCCCCCCAGGCACGTACGCTGCCTTCTCTGAGCCAATACCCCCCACCTATTTCATGCCACCTCCACCTTCTCACACCAGGCTCCCTTTCCCACCCTATCCCCACCTCTGTGGGACGACCTCGCCTTTTCAGTGGGCCAGACCCCGCTTTCAGAGCCCAGGGACTGGGATGTGGGGCAATTGCTGCCCCCCAATTCCTGCAGTCCCACCCAAACCCACGCTAACACCGAGCACCCCCCCTGCAGCCCCGGTTTGGGGGCCCAGCACTCACCGTTAGCTGCGGGGTCGCTGCACAGTGGAGCCGTGTCCCCCCCAGCGCTGCTTCATCCCCGGCCGGTGCGTGCTGGGTGCGGGCCCCGCTCAGCCCCGCGCACCCCGGTGCTGGCGCTGGGCCTGGCCGCAGCCCCCCGGGCCCGTTGGTGCCGAGCGGCGGGCAGGGCCCCGCGGTGCTCTCCACCGCGGCCGTGTTAGGGCTCAGCTCCTCCGCAGGGCGCTGGGCAGCGCTGGAGCGCGGGGATGGAGGGATGCAGGGATGAGAGGATGCAGGGGTTATGGAGGAACGCAGGGATGCCGGGAAGCGGGACCGCAGGGATGCAGGGAGGGAGCAAGGTGGGGATGCGGGGCCGGGGTGGGTGCACCGGGACCCTCCCAGGCAGCATCACCGCTCTCCCGTTCGGCTCGGCCGTGCCACCCCTCGGCCCGACGCCGCCACTGCACCGCTCCCAGCCGCCCCCCCGGTGCCGCGGGCTGCGATGGGAACCGGGGGGGGCCTCAGGGCTGCCCCGGGCTCCTGCCCCGCGCTGCAGCCGCTCCTCATCGCTCGCAGCCCGGAGCCAGGCCGGGGATACCCGGGGAGAGCTCGGAGCCCCGCGGGTCCCGGTCCCGGTCCTGGTCCGGGGCGGGCGCTGCCGGACGCGGCCGCACGGTGACGCCGTCGCCCGACGGATGGGAACGGGGGGAGAAGGGAGGGAGGGAGGGGGCGGGAGGGGGGGGAGGAAGGGTGGGCCTTAAATTGGGGTTGGGGAGGGATTGGTTTGAGAGGAGGGGGTGGGGATGGGGATGGGGATGGGGATGGGGATGGGGATGGGGATGGGGATGGGGATGGGGATGGGGATGGGGATGGGGATGGGGTTGAGGTCAGGTGAGGTGGGATTGGGATTGCGATTGGGGCTCTGCTAGGGCCAAGGACAGGATGGGAACGGAGACGGGATTGCGGATGAGGATGGGTTGAGATGGGTGTGGGGCCAAGGGATGGGAATGGGGATGGGGGTTGACTTGGGGTCGGGGTGCAATTGGCTCCATGGCTGAGGAGTGCCCTGAGGGGTTTTGTGTTCGCTGAGCAGGAAGTTTCTCCTATAGGTACAAGGGGAGGAAATGAAACAGCGTCAGCTCTGACAGTGAACAAGTGGGAGGCTGGGGGGGGGGGATGCCAGGGTTAGGAATGGGGCTCCTCTTGCTGCAGGGCCTGCCCAATGCTTCTCCCCAAAGCCGTGAGCCAGGAGCAGCTCAAATATTGGACCTAGGGAGAGAATCCTGTGGGGCAGCGACCCCCATGTCCCCCATGGGCTGCGGGCATGCTGCACGGTCCCCCCCAAGCTGCAGCATGAATGGAGACCCACATGGAAGGCAGCAAAGGTCTCACCAGCACGAACCATTCTCTTTGTAATGGGCTTCCCAAGTATTTATTAGAACATTAAATCACACCCGAGGGAGGCAGCCTCAGCCCTGCTTGGGCTGGTCTGGTCGCAGCTCTCTTTGGAAAGGGATGCTCTTAAAGGGAGTGACCTGCTAAGTGAGTACATTGACTCAGCCTCCATTTCTCCCTGTCCTGACACGTTGTGGAGACGAGGGTGGGCTGGAAGAGGCTGGTTCGGGTAATTAACATTAATCATTTCATCCAGAACAAGCACAGAGCCCCCATTCATCCCCGTCAGAAGAGCGGGGGCTGTGTCTGAAGAGCATAGGCAGCCCCTTCTCTTCAGTAACTCCCCTCTTAGCACAGGGGCTGCAATCCCACCCGCGGTGCCCTCAGACCCCCACTTTGCCACCCATGGAGGGGGCACCTGGTGGAGCATGGACCCACTGGGCAGTGGGAGATGGCGATGGGTGCGTGATGCAGATGGGCAGCCCCGCTCCCCTGCACACCCCATCAGCACCAAGGGGGAGCCCAGGCCTCCAGGCTGTGGGAAGGGGCTGGAATGCACGTCCCAAATTCAGGCCTGGCACCAGACGAGCTGCCCCAGGAGCCTGCCCATCGTCCTGATGGCTCAGTGGGAAGGGGAAAGCCTCCAGCCTTTTGTCTGCGGGAGAGGAATTAATTATTTTGTTCTCTCATCACACTGGAATAAAATCCATTTTAGAGCAGCATAAATTTAGGTGCCTGAAGTCCCCCTTTTATTTTTTATTTTATTTATTTAACATCCCAGGAAACATTTTTCTCCCCTTCTTGCCCTTTTCCAAATCGTTTCTGTCTCGCTGTGCAGCTGCCAGTGCCCAGGATGAAGCACGGGATGGAAGGGCATTAACTCCAGCAAAAGGGCTGCGTGGGGCACGGAGGGCAGGAAGATGAGGCCATAGTGGGGACCCCCGAGGTTCACTGAACACCACAAGCTGCCATTGGGCACGGCAGCATCTGGGCCACCTCCTGCCACTGAGCGATGCTCAATTGGTCAGAATGGAAAATGGAAATCAATACAGAAGTTCAACTCCCCCCCAGCACAGGCACCCCAGTGCTGCTCGCCTCATTCATTGAATGGCACGAAGCAAATGAGGTCAGAGCTCGCTTAAGCCAGACAAGGACATAGTAATGCATCCCCCCCCTTGGCTACCTGATGGTGATCAGCATTCCTGCCAGCATCCGCACATTAAACCCCTAAAAGGTGGCTTGAGCATCCCATTAGAGACTCTCAGGTCTGTCCTTCCTTCCCCCATAGATACAGAGGAGGCCGCTGAGCACAGGGAGCGGGATCAGAGCTGGCGATGGAGGGACAGGGTTTGCACACCCGCTGCGGGGCTGCATCCTTCCCCATTCATCAGCCAGGGCTATGGGAGCATCGCCCCAGCACAGCCCAGCCTTGCACAGGCCATGGGTGCTGAGCATCCCCATCCTCAGGGTGTCCCTGGGGATGCTCCCAGCTCCGTCTCGAGCATCAACTCCTGCTCTTGGGCCAGACCCTGCTGCTTCCAGTGGTCCATTCACACCTCCAGCCTCTGCTTCCCCATCCATCCACTGGCAAGCACTGGGACCAGGGCAGAGCCCACCCAGCATCTCCCCTCTCCCAGAGGAGGCTGAGGCATTCAGCATTTCCCTCTTTAAACAAAGGCAGCGTCTCCTTGTGCTGCTCCTTCCTCCTCCTGCTCCTCCACTTCCTCTTGCTTTCCTTTCTCCTTTTCTTCTCTGCCACCAGAAATGAGTTGTCTTCCCGCAGATGTGACTAAAAGCACTCTGGAAATGTCAGCCACCGCTCGAAAGGGACCCAGATAACATTTAGCTTTAGGTAAGAGAGTAGATTTTCTCTGCGCTAATTCATATTTATAAGCTCTCCTGTTCCCGGGGAGAGCGCGGCACTGATAGCACTTGCTGATTGCTAGCGAGCGGAGCAGGGAATTGTTTTCATATCTGAGATTAAAGAGTGCTTTCTGCTCCCAGTGGCACCTGTGTACTTACACTGGTCATTCTCAATTCATTCTTATAAGATTAAGACTGGAAATGGGAAATGGTTATATAGTGCCGAGCCCAGGAGAGGCTGGGGGCAGCGGGGGGACAGGATAGCGCCAGCTCGGTGGTCCCAATGCACGAACACCCAAGGCAGAGGCAGCAGAGCCCAGGCCTTTGCCAGGGGCTCCATATGGTTTTCCCGATGGGAGTGCTTCAAGATACAAGCTCCTTGGGCAGACCCTGTGGGGATGGATGGCACCGATAGCCGGAGCGGGCAGAGACGGATGCGAGCACGCGATGGGTTCGGTGAAAGCTTTGTTTCCATTATTGCTTTTCAACACATCTCGGGGTTTGTGTTGCTGATTAAAAGCAAACAAGTGGAGCCCTTTGCAGCGGATCAAGGGTTTGGGAACTTTTAGAGCTTTTAGTTTCTATCTTCTTTTTAAGTCATGTTTGCAAAGTGGCTGAGCAGCTCCCGAGAGAGCCAGGGCCGGAACAGGGGGGAACAGAGAAACCAGGGATTGTAGGGCCTGGAATTAGGGGGAGGAAAAGGGGAGGAGGGAGAGGTTGGGGTGGAAAGGGAAAAAGGCGAAAGGAGAAACAAGACAATGGCAGAAGGCACCCCGGGGACTTCCTGAGAGGTTTTAGAAATTCAAAGTACGCCTTAGAGCCTCAAAGCTGTGTCAGTCACAGCCCCGGCACAGGGATCACTGAGGCTGCGGCCAAACAATACCAGATTGTGTGAGGAAGGTGGGAAAATAGGGGGTCTCAGCGGCTCCCACTCACACCAGCGGTTCCGCTCGTCAAGCACGCGTTCCACATGAATCAATTCTGGACAGAGCCTCGGCATAATCCCCGCCAGCCTCGCTATGACAACTTGAAGGAGAATTCGGCGCCTGAGTGACAGCAGACACAGAACTGACAAGGCAAAAGACCGCAGGACTTTCCTTCCCTTTCCCCCCCTCCCCTTCCCTTTTTTCCCTTCCCTCTCCCCTTATCCCCCTTCCATAACTTTTCCTGGGCCGTTGGTTTGGGTGCTCACACATCCATGTGCTGATGCGCTCACACATCCATGTGCTGATGCGCTCACACATCCATGTGCTGATGCACTCACACATCCATGTGCTGATGCACACACATCCATGTGCTGATGCACTCCCATCCATGTGCTGATGCGCTCACACATCCATGTGCTGATGCACTCCCATCCATGTGCTGATGCGCTCACACATCCATGTGCTGATGCACTCCCATCCATGTGCTGATGCACTCACACATCCATGTGCTGATGCACTCTCATCCATGTGCTGATGCACTCACATCCATGTGCTGATGCACTCTCATCCATGTGCTGATGCGCTCACACATCCATGTGCTGATGCGCTCGCACATCCATGTGCTGATGCGCTCACACATCCATGTGCTGATGCGCTCACACATCCATGTGCTGATGCACTCACATGTGTGTGCTCCCCATGCCCGCGCTGCCAGAGGGGCTTTGCTCTCTCCTTGCAGCCCCAAAGACCCCCCTGAGCTTGCCCTGCTCCTGGGCACCCCCGGCCCTTCCCAGCAGCAAGGATGCTTGGGAATCCCAGCACCTCTCCCACCCACAGGACCGGCCATGACTCCAAGCAGAGTGCAAGGGGAACATGGGATGGGGGTACCCAGCT